TCTGTGTTATATATTAAAAAAAATATGTAGCAAAAAAAAGAAAGCAAAAAAAAAAAAAAAAAAAAAAAAAAAAAAAAAAAAAAAAAATAAAAGAGTACGAATTGCACGGAATAAATCATGCGTTCCAGAAGTAACGAGATGTAATAATAATCACAGCAGAAAGAGATTTTTTTCTCGGAGGAGAACTCCCTTGTTCGTGTGCTGCTGCGTCCTTCTCCGGCATACGCTTTGTAAAGTGCCGGCTCTGCTTCGAGGTGGATTCGTGTGATAAGTCGCGCGACCGTCTAATAAATATAAATGCGCGTACGTACTCGCGGCAAACTGAAAATAATACCTTCCGGCCTTAGCGAGCGCTCGCTTCACGTTTGCCAAGTATACGATAAGAAATGTTCGCTACCAGAAACCGTCATAATTGTGAGATAAAATTGGCAAATGAAAACGTGACATCGTTTTGACGGTGAAAATAAAGATCGATCGATGTTATATTCTACACACAGGGATACGTATATCAAAACAGGATAAATCCGTTGTACGCGACGTAATTTTTCCTTTCTCTCTCTCTCTCTCTCTTTCTCTCTCTCTCTCTTTGTTTTGTTTTTGTTTTTGTCGCGTTTTGTGCGAAGATTTTAGCGACGTTGATAAATGGCTGTTGGTAAACGAGCTTCATCAACAGAAAGCGAAATAAAGAAAACTGTTAAAACTTTGATGGTTTTGAGCGACGAGAAGTTTTGTATCAAAATATGTAATATGCGGTTTATTTTGTGTGTCGCGCGAATTACTCGTCAGAATTCCTAATTAAACCCACACACGAATAACAAATCCGTCTTAAGGCGCTTCGGATCGTCTCACGGTAACAAGTTTACCAAGTTTCTTCTCACGCGCACTTAGTGGAGGAAGATTATCATCGAGTTATATATTATAATTATGGACTCTGAAATGTTTCTCTTTCACACCTTGAAAGATATGACCTTGCATCGACAATTATACACGCCAGAAAATTTATTCAAAATCTTAATTATTATTACGAGATAATCCTTCATTGGTACATCACACTTTTGTCTTGACCCGGATACAATAGATTCAGATAAAAT